AAACCCTTTTACTCGAAATAGAAGTCAGCCCAACAATTAATTTTTTTATCCGCCATTTAAGAAGGCCAGGAAATCGTCTATTTTTTGGAGGGCGAAGTACTCATACAAATATCGCATGCTTACTGCTGCCTGCTGAAGTGCCGTTTTGAAATTATTGTTTAATTTGTCCATTTAGACATTTGCTAACAACAGTGAGAGTGGTGAGCTCATAGTCATCACTAGATTTTGGAACAAAGACTAAGGAAGAGGAATGATGATACAACGTTTAAATAGTAAATTTGTAAAGTGGATTTTCCTTACCACTTTAATAAGTTGGAACCTTCCCCTGACGATGGCAACTAATATGCCGGTGAAACGACTGATAATATACCAAGTCGATGGTCCAATGCTGGAAATCTCGAACACTATGGTAGAGGACGCAGGACTTGATATACTCCACAAAGTCCCCCTGTTGCCTAGAGCAAGTTGTGATAACAAGGTAAAATCAACACTATACAACAAAAGGATACTGTAACTAAACAGAAGCCCACATTTTATTGGTCTCCATATTTAAAATATTAAGTTTTATTAATAGCACATACGGTTTCACAATAAAGATAGGATTTATATATATATATTTATCAAAATTATGCCCATACGAGATTCTTAAATAAAGCTTTACTTAGTTTATCTTAAAATCATATTTATGGAGTTCAAACAGACGTAATGCACTATGGCAAGTTGGAAACCTTAGGTAAACATTAGTTTGAATCAATTAATTTTTAGAATTATTGCCAAAGTATTTTATAATTTATAGAGGCAAGATCAAAGGAACATGTATTTGATGCAATAGATAAATGTGTAAAACTATTGCATCACGTTGTAACCATTTTTTACCTTAGATGGGGCTTGGTTATAGAATCAAATCGAGAATTTAGAAATACGGCAATAGAAGATAAAATCTCCTTACGCAAATTTACAATTTTTATCCCTAGCTTTTTTTCGTAATGTCTTCATTTAGCAGAGACTAAGTGAGCAAAACCTTTTTCACCTATTGCAGAAACATAAAATTGCCTCTTAGTCTTTAAAGGTGAATAAATCATGAGAAGCTGGGCATGGTATCAATCAAAGGCACCCTGTTTAACTCTGTAAGACTCAAACTTTAGGTGCAAATCTAGACTTTCTAGCTAAAGGGATTTAAAAGCATTTAACAAAGCAACTAACATTATTAATAAAGGGAAATATTATAAGAGGGTAGATAGGATATATATCTGATCATTAATTATGGGAAGAAAGAGGAAAGGAAGAAGGAAAAATGGAAATATTAATAATTACCCTCGAACCTGGCTTGTACTCTATGATCTTATAATATATCGACATAACTAATTTTTAAAAATATTAGCCAATCCCTAAACAAAGATACAAATCATTAAATGTTTCATTAAACGTGTGAAAGGATGCAACTAACTGCAATTATTATTTATTAATTAAGTGACCTTATTAGATGATGATTTAAAATTCTAAAACTCTTTGCCATGTAATAGATGTAAGCTGATCATGGATTTATTGGGGTTGAAGAACAGTGCCTAGAGGCGAGCGCAGCTCAGCAAGTCTGCTTCCATTGAATTCTATATATAACACTAATCTAGCAACAATTTCATGCTGAATAAAATGAACATAAATGTAATTGTACAAATGAAATGTCTGATTTGCAATATCAAAATTAAAAATAACTATATGTATAAAAAATCATTTATATGCACCCCTGACTTCCCTCCTTCAACTTTTTGAAGTATGCTACATATTTAATTAATTATAAGTATGATTAGATTTTTTGAAATAAATTAATTCTCTGCTAACACCACCATTCATCTAATACATTTGGTTACACTTAGGCAAATAATAACGCTTTGGCATACCTATATTTTGTTAAAGGAAGCAAATGGAAGGGATTTGTAAGTCAACCTCCTTAAAACCCAAGGAAGAAATGTCTTGGAGCTGCTATGTGTCGAAGATCATAGGCACAGAAGATCATGCCAAAAATTGCTTTACCAAAATCAGATGACAAAACCAAAATATTACCCTGATTTACCACTTGCTAAAAAAATCTTTCATATTTTTTGTTAAATGAAAAGATGTAATATTAGCGACCTTACACGTCATCCACACACATGTGGAGAAACAATACAATGACTACTAAATCAATAGATAATTCATTAAATGTGTAAAGGTTAGTCACTGAAAATAGACATGATATCAACAATCTACCTCTCATGTTTATGCATTGTGGTGGATCAATGTAAACATGGCGTAACGCTCAGATACTGTCCGTCAAATGTGTAAAGGCTCAGCAATTATCCATCTTGGGCACAGAGCGATGCGCTGATTAAAATTTTGGAACCATTTAATAATGAAATTGGGTTTGAATAGATTCGTTTATTCAGCAGCGGACTTATGCTTAATTTTTTGCTTCTAAAACTTTGCTAAAAAACTATATTATTAAATGGTCATTATTACTTTAATATAATGCCTTCAATACTTCGTTTTTTGTGCAAAGACAACTGATTAATAAATTGATTAAAAAATAATTGGATTAATTTGTAAAAAAGAATTTCATGTGAGTTTTACTCTAGCAATTCCTTAATTTACTTTAAATCAATTCAGCAGCGGGGCTGTCTTTCACCCACTGTTTTCAAGTAAATAACTAAGGTAAACATTTCGCTTTTCGTTCCTAATTCTGTTCTTTACGAGCACTTTACCTAAAATTTAATAATTACATTTTTAGTTTCTACACGCAATGTAGCTTTATAAAGATACTGGTTCGTTTTATTGGAAAAATGCTTCATTGATGGCGACCTTAAGAAAACAAGATATCACTAATCCGCCAAACGATGAGCATACAAATGTATCATTTAAAGGCCTAAAATCTCAAAAAAATGTAATCGCTCAATCTAATGTTTCACCAAAACCTTTTACTTTCCCAACCATGTTATCGGCCATATCTCAAGAGGATTCACATTTAAGATTGTCAGGGTTGAAATTCCTTGAAATTGAGCTTAGGGAAGCTTTTTCAATTTATAGCGGAGCCAAGGTGGATTATGAAATCAAACAGAATGATGAGCTGTTCTTGGCTGGTCTTTATAAATCGATTGACTTTATTATTCAGGCCCTACTTTCGTATTTTGTTGAAGAAGACTCTCCTTCTACTCTCCTGGCGACCCAGTGCTTAAATTTAATTTTGTGTCTTCTTATTACATTGAATTCAAAAGACTTCAGCGTTAGAAACTTCTTTGATGTCATTGTTGAACATGGGTTCAAATCACCTAATAGCACGGAATATAAATTTTCTCTCTGCAAAGCCTTGCCTGTTATTTTGGACTCAGAACCAGTAGCAAATAAATCAACACTGAAACATTCTGCATTTGAACCGCTTCTAAAATGTCTAGTTGAGCTGGGCTGGTCAGGCAGCGATTTATATACGCACGTTCAACTGGCATTCTCATCTGTTCTCGATAAAATCGGATACTCAGCCTTTTGTGAAATAATTAATAATTGGAAAAAAAATGAAGATACCTCTTTTATCCGAAACCAAGTTGAGTTAGCACTTAAATGGTCGAACAATGTCTTTCGTGGGTCAGATATTTCCGAATCTTGTACTCACGATGAACAACTTACCATTGAGGAATATCGTGATGAAGATTATCATCTTACCGAAGATGAAGGATCTGATGAATTAATTGATGGCTTAGACTCTGATCAAAGCGATAGCCCTGGGGATGATGACACTCTATCTATAGAGGATGATTTTCCCTTTCGTTATGCTGATATAGAATTTATGCTGCCAAAAGAAACTTATGATTCTGTCTCATTTTGTTGCCAGTCTTCATCACTCTTCTTCTCTCCTTTGACGAACCCTGCCATAGCGCACGCATCTGTTACGTACGATCCTAGAATCGCCCACCAAGGTGCCGAGGCCATGCGCGATGCTGTTT